AGAAGATTTTACTCCTTTCTGGCTTTGCAACTGCATTTTGACAGAGTTGTGCCTTCATTGCCACTAAAGGCAGTACAGACGGTATTTCTGGCACACGAATGAACATGGTTGTTTTCTTAGTGGTTGGTTTCCTGTTAAATGGATAAAAGGAAAATTTTATTAATTTTAAACAGGAAGAATCAATAAATTTCAGAAATTATAGAGAATATGGCAAACCACGGATAAAAAGAAATCATGTGAATCTACTTTATGGAGTCACAAAGCCACACAGTAGTGTGAATACTGGAATTGCTGTAACTGATTGCGTCTTGTTGAAGGCCTATGGGTCACTGCTTGCATGCAGCAGTGACAAGAATCTTTTTTGTGGTTCATTTTTGTGCAGAACTGTCTCAGAGAGGTTTTGGGGAGCAAATTCCTTGCTGACTCAAGATCTTTTGCCATGAAAAATGAAAATTACCAACTCTTATCTTATCATGCAGTCCTATAGTTGGCATATCTTGTTATTGCTCATGGAATTACCCAATGTTTTGTAAGTCTCTTGCTGTGTTAATTTATTTTGTGCTGTCTTGCTAGTTTACAGTCAAAGTAGTTGCCAGGTGAAGCTGAAAGCTATTCTTATTCCTATGCTGACTAATTAGTCTTTTGTTTCCTTGTATCAGAAAGTCACAGACGCAGTGAGTTTAAAGCTAATCAATTACTATACATGTATTGCATGAAATCAAACAGAGACGGCATTTAGCATGCTCACTTTCTGATCTAGCAATAGCTCTGAGCTTGTAGAGCTCCCATTAGCTTAAAGGCAGAGCACTGCATGGACTTACACAAATTTAAAGCAAACTAATTAGTATTTTCTCTAAACAAGTAACAACAAGTAACATTTAACAATTGGACATTTCAGGGCATAACCATGCAGAACTCCTGCTGAAGTAAATGGGAGATGGGCACTTGGTCCCTCCACAAGCATAGTCTGATTCACTATTTATTTTGTTGAAACTTTGGACTTGCTATTCCATTAATTGACTGTTCTTTTTGTCTTTGTATTTACTTTCCCAGATGTTCCAGCCTATCATTTTACTTATTCTCATCCTTGTATTATTTTCATCCCTTTCATACACAACAATATTTAAACTTGTCTTCCTTTTTACACTGTTTTTTGTACTGTAAGCCATTCCTCATTTACTGTTCATTGTAGTGTTATTTTCAGTTTGTTTATTTTGTCCACCCTCCAAGATAAGAAGTGAAAGAGACATAATTTTTGTAATAGCCACTGCTGTAAAAACACTGAAGACTACTTGTTTGCCAAAACCAAAAAAAAAACCAAAAAAGCTGCAAAAACCATACCAAAAAGTCACCCAGTTGAATAGGAAACCTGCTCACCACAGTGTTCCAGGTAAGCAAACAGACAACGGTATTTTTCACTTTCTCTGTTTTTATCATTTTTGGATAAAAGTTTCCTGGGTGACTGAAACCATTTTAATATTTATTAATTTGCACCAAATCAGAAACAAAACAGAAATATGCACAGTGGGTATGAGGACTCTGTTACTTTTCTCTTCCCACTCCCAGAAACAGAATTTGTATTCTAGCCACATATGAATAGTAAAATCGCATTCCATGTTTATTCTGCAGTTGTATATCACAGCTTGTATATATGTTTTGCATGACTGTGATGATGATGTTTTCCAGGACTGTATTAACATGGATTAGACACCCTGGAGGGGACAAAATCAGAATGCTTGGTACATAAAGCACTCTGGAACTGTGTCTAGGAGCTGGAGCCCCTGAGAATGAGATGCCTGAGGAGGAGGTATCAGAGTAGTTTAGGAGTCTTCAGAGAGATAGGGGCTGGCTGCGTTCTCTCTATGCTCTAGAAAAATGGCCACGCTGGAGTCTAACTTGAACTGATGAGAGTGATGTAAGACACCTCGTCTCATGTTGAATTTATCAGATAACATTTCCCAGTCTGTAGCTACCACAGCTTTACATTCTCCAGGTTTCAGAACGAATTTTGAATGAACACGGTAACTCTTGGCTTGCTGAGTGACCCCTATCTAAATATGCTGTTGGTAGCCAACCACCATAGGTGAGGGAAGCTTGTGTGCATAGGTGTGCATCAATAGTCACTGAATATTCCTGTCTTGCTTATGAGAGGCTGAACTAAGAATACAGGCAACTCATTACCTTTCTTTCGCACTTACATGGGCTGTTCCTACAAACAGTAGATCTCCCGCTGTGAAAACCTCATCTGAAATGTCCAACAGGGCTCAGTTCTCTTTTCTGTTTTATTCAGCCTATGTTGAAACCGTTAAGTCCTGCAAATGTGAATTCTCCAAAGGTGAACAAGTATGTGTATTAATGACATTTTTTTCTGCAGTTGCCATGTTAAATAATCTAATAATGAATAGTGGTAATAAAAAAAGCAGCTAGCCATAAGGATTCCCTTTGACTTATGCTAGCACTTTGTTCACTTAACCCATTCCCAGTGAGAAAAGTTCATCTCCACACCTGAGTTGTGCTCTGCTACTTGTTGAGAGACACCGCTTTGAGAGAAAATCCTCAAAGGGCAGCAGAGGTGGAGCAATAAAATTTATGTTTTAAGAACAAAAAAATAGTAAACTCAAAATATTTGGTATTAAACAAATATTGTATTTTTCTCCTTGTTTGTCTAGCTTTCCCTCAGCATACTCTGCAGGTGTAGTAACCTTATAATTTAAATTATTGACCTCTTTGATTTAAATACTTATTGCTACCAGGGGATGCTGTCATTATCTATTTTATACTTAGCAAGATATGTCTAAAGGAAATTAGAATCAATATATGAGATAATTAGATAGCCTTGACTGGTGACCCAAATAAAAAGAAAGTCAGGCCCAAACTAATTTTGAGGAGTTTCTAAGCTGCTTTCATATGTGTTCAGACAAGAGATGGAGCTAACCTCTGCACAAACACTGGCAGTTACAACCCCATTGCTTTCTCACAGTGTTTTTTTCTTGCATATAGCTGAACATTTCCTAGGCCTAATTCCATTGGGCAGCAACAAAACAAATCAAAGCTGAGACCTTTCGAGACATTTAGGGAGCTATTGCACAGGCTACAATCTGAAATAAAAGCACACCAAAGTATACAAAATTATTTTAGAAGTTCCCCACAGTCTTTGACTCTGTGACGAGCATGGAAAATGATGAGGAGCCCCACAGAGAAATCTCAGTGAGAAATGAGATGTGTTTTTCCTGTCTTTTTTCATTCTCCTTGAAGGCAGGAATTGAAGTGGCTTATCTGTTTCACACCAGATATTGCATAATTTAAAAAGTTGCTGAGAAAGCTAATAAAATCTGTATGAACATTTATTCTTCGCCAGAAGACAAGATCTAGCCAAAGAAATAAATGTTCTGTCTTGTTAAATTGAACTTAGTATTAAGAAATGCAGCAATTATACTTGCAAGAAAGAAAGCAGACTCTGCTCACTCATTTACTGGCCTAGTGGGCAAAGACCACTTCACAGGTGAGTGAATAGATGCAGCTGAATACATCAGCATCCTCTAGCAGGAATGCAGGGGAGTCAGGCTGGGCAGAGACAGACAGAATACTGCTGATTCACTGATTCTGCCTGCTGCATAGCTTGTAATTCTGAAGAGCATTTATAAGAAGAGTACAGATTTTAATTGCATGTGGCAAAAAGCTGGATATGCCAGGTTACCTATCAGTTCAGGTCTCACTTAGCAGATTCACGGTTCCCATTTTGTAACATTCTGGTGAAATATTAACATTCTGGGAAAAAAAAAGTCATTGAATTTGAACCATGAGATTGCCTTAATTTAACATTTCTCTGAAATATTACTTTCTGTTTCCTGTGTTCCCAAGGAATTAATTCCATGTTCTTTCAAAAGGAAAAATCTTTCATCTAGAGGTCTCGTTCTGACATTTTTACATTTGTGTAAATTGGCAGTTCAGCGCACGCTGTGTCTCACCTAAAAAAATCCACTGCGCAGGCTCGAAGGGTTAATGACCTTTCCCAAATCTTCTCTCGCGAAGACTGGCCATTATTATAAATTGGCAGTAACTCCAATGAATTTTTATGTAATTCAGGGAAAGATGTATTTTTTCCTTTAATGCAACCAGATAAACTCAATTGTATTTGTTTTCTATTTAGAGCCAGCTCTGAATGCCCTGACAAAATTTCTCTGCAAATATTTTCTTTACTGCTACTGAAAAATTCCCTTGAAGTTAGAATGATCATCTTCTCTAGGATCAGAGATATTTCTTTCAACCAAGAATATCTGTGCCTGAAGTTCCAGTTTAGAGATAGAATAAGTGTCTGCTGACACATGTCACCAGTGTTTCAGAATCAAAACCAGAAGAGAGCAGGTGCTATAGTGCAGAAAAATGCCTGGCAGTCGGAAAATAGAAAATTGCCAGAAACGTGGCTGTCTAGATATGTGTTATAAAAAAAGATGAACTGCACATGAACTTTGGGAGTTGTTTACGAAAACAAGCAGAGCTTCAGGGTATTACATGCCCTTTCCCTTAATCACCCCAGAATCTGATAGGTGAGTAGGAGACTTCTAAAGGCATCAGTATCACGGACATAGTTCCCATTGGCTTACATGCCTGTCTCTGATTTAATGCCAGGGGAAGTGATATTCAAACCCAACTTTTGCCATTACACATGCAGTTGCCTATGAGGAAAATTACAGTGGCTCTATTTAAAGTAAACATCTAAACTATCTGCCACCGATTTCCAATGTAACCTTGGAGAAGCGACATGACATAACACGTTGTTTGCTCTGTTTCTCCACTGAGTTATGTTACTATCTCAGAAGTGCACAACAGTAAGAGGAGACAAAATTTTTACTCCCTTCTGCCAGTTTTGTGTATATATATACCAATTGTATATATCCACTCCTGAAATGTATATACCAAGATTACCAAGATGTCCATCATTCAGGAATCTAATGTTGTGGATGGGTTGACTGCAGTGACAGCTGTGCTCTTCCTTCTTGTCACTAGTTTATGTTGCCATAGCACAATGGGTGTGCCATAATCAAACTAGTGCAGCAGAACCGAAGATGCTCTGAAACAGTCTTGAGCACATACTATTGTAACCAGAATACACACTACCCTGAGTATGTAATCAGATTATAGCCCATGCTGAAACTCATGCTGCTTTGCCTCCAGTCCTGCATGATGAAGAGAAATTTAGCAGAGGGCTTGTTTCAAATGCCCTTGCACCTTTTGTTTGTTGAGATGCTGACTTTTGACACAAGTAGAGCTGATGCCAGATATAGACAAAATATGCTTTCCCGGGGAAGCAATGTGTTGAATGTAATAAATCTTCCTGCTTATTTTACCTGTGCCAGAGGGCAGAAAGCCACATCTGCTGCTTTGGCCCCTGCTGCTGGAGGAGAGACAGTAGGGACAATTTTTGTTAAATAACTTCTTTTCCTCAAAAGCAGAAGTCACTACTGCAACACTTAAGGGTATATAGAATAATGATCCCAGGTTTTCAGAACTCACTACATGTTTTCTTTGTCTCAATTTTATTCTGTCTTTCCCATATTAGGATGAGTTTAATGTGGCCCTTTGACCTATGAGATGGGTCCAGTGCTTGTCTCCTAATGAGCCCTTCAGTCTCACACATTTCTAATTCTTCACACTGACAGAAATGTAGGCCTTTGCCTGAGTGAAAACTCAAGCCTGGGATTTAATCCATTGTTTTCTTTAATTTTACTCCTTTTACTTCAAAGAGTTCACACAGCAAGACTAGAGGGATTGAGTTAGCAATATTAAAGAATAATAGCCTATGCTGACGGATAAGAGTAAAAAAACATATCTTAGGAGTCTGTCTTCATGTGCAGTGGTGCAGCTGTGCTGGCTTCAGGGAGGAGGCTGTGCTGTGGCACCTGGCCTCCAGCTGTGGGCTCAGTTCTGCTCCCAGGCACTCCAACATCACCCCCAGCCATGTCAGCTGGTGTTTGTGTCCTAATGTCACAAAAGAAAGTCACACTGTTGCTTTATTTTTAAATCCTCAGAGTTTAGAGTCTGGGGATTTTCTTCAGGAACATTCAGTCGAGTACTTGGGCATCTTTGTTCAATTTTTAAATCATCTTTAAAATTTTCACAAACATCCCAAGTCCCATTATTTATGTTACATAGGAGCAGAATAAGCACCCCAGTAATGTATTCACTAAGACTTACTGCTAGACCATATAAGGAGAAAAAATGTGTTTTCCCTGAAACCTGATTTGGTATTTACTATAAAATGCACCCAGAGCTAAAATCTTTATACTGTGCATGGATTTTATCACAGATAAAAACTTACTGTTCTAAAGACGAGAGTGCTGACTAAGCAAAGGTTGTGTGAAACCTCGTATCATGCCCTTTGTCTCACTGATCCTCTTGTCATCAGCTGCTCTGCCTGCAAAAATATATGTCACTCCTGCTTAGTGCATTTGAAGACACCCAGCTGATAGCAGGATTTATCCAGTTTTATGCTGCCTGAGTCAAGTATTTTGGGGCCCTTCTCTAGGTACACGTGGGGAAAAATGTTCTCTGAAATGTGAATTTACTAACTGTGCCTCAGTCACTGTCCACAAACACATCCAAGCACAAGTACCCAGCAGGGCAATGGTATGTGTGTGTGAAGCTTCCACCCAAGGGTCTCTCTCAGTTGCAAAATGAAAGCAATTTAACATACAATGCAACAGGAGAGTTGTGGGCAGAGACAGGAAGAGTGAGCTGGGCTCCTTGTGCCTGTGGCTCAGCAGGGGGAGCAGCTAATTTTCGCCATGCTGGCTTCAGAGTCTCCTGTGGACTTAGACTTGCTGGATCATTTTTGTCACATACATTGTCTTACCTTGCCCCATGCTAACACTTGCTATGGGCACTCCCAGTGATTTATATCCAGACCAAGGTGGTTTTGTACCTTCCTTACCAGACTTATGCCGGAGATGAGTTTCCTTGTGAAAGGGAGACTCTCCATCCAATTTCAAGTGCTTTGCTTTGTTGAGACACCAAGTGTCTTAACAGACTGGAGAATCTGATCCAGAAACCTTATAAAGTATCGGGAATATTTGAGTATATACCAAAGAAACCATTATTTTCATTCCCAGAATGCAAGACAGTAGGATTACACAGTGCCTAATAATTCCACACTTCATAAGTAAGAGCATATTTAGAGTACAGAAAAAGATTTTAGAGAGGAGTGGTTTGCTTTTAGCTCTTTAAGATAGCTGTTAACTGACAAAACCTTTTGTTGTTGTTCTGCTGCTTTAAACAAAACTCTCTTTAAAAAGCAGTTTATGAGGATCAAGTTGCAAAGCTCAAAATAATCATACTGAAAAATAAAACCCTGAAAGCTGGGTCTGGAAAACAGCAAAAAATCTGGACCACAATAAAAGAAACCTAAAATTGCCTATTGTCATAGCTTTAATATTAACACTATCTGCTTTGGCAAGCTTTAAAGACTGGACTGCACTATAAAACCTAAAAATGTCCTGGACTTGGAGTTGTTTACACAAAATATGAAGAGATATAAAGTTACAGAGCTGGGGGCTGGAAGAGGTGGCTTTAAAACCATCCTCCATGCACTGATGTCACGTGGAAGCCAGCTGCGGGGATGATGCTGAACGGAACTGTTTTTCAGTTAGCAGAAGTTGAGGAGTTATTCAAAGAGAGTTACAAATACCACCCCAGTTGAAAGGTTGTGTCTTGCTCAGCTTTCTTATTTCTTTTAAAGATCAAGATTCACAGAACTGGATCCCTGCTAGTTATGTGTTTCATTGCTTTCACTGCTGCTTAGAAATGGACAGAGAAACTTCTAAAGGATTTCTTATTCCATGAAAGGTATGGTTGCAGTTTATTTTAAATCAGTGGTTTTGAACACTTTAGATTAAAAAAGAAAGCATATTACCGATGCAGCAAACAGTTATTTAAACATCTAATGTTATTTATGTGTAATGCGATGTTCATGTATGTTATATATGGTCTTTATTCTTAGAGAAAGACTTCATTAGTTCAGTTAGTTTCTTCAGTGCAGGCAGAGATATATTAACAGAACAGGAATGACGGAGCATTGTGACCACTTGTCTTTCTTTTTCTTTCCTTCCTTCTTTCCTTCCTTCTTTCCTTCTTTATTTTTCCCCTCTCTTCTTTCTTTTCTCTTTTTCTTTCTTGCTTTCACTCTTTCTGGCTCTCATTTCTCTCTATTTCTTGTTTCTTTCCCTTCCCTCATTCAACTGTACTTTCTTTTTATGGATAAAGCACACAATATTGTGACACATGGCACATGATTATAACTGAACAAATACATATGTTTACAATTTTCTTAGTCATCCAAAATACAGCACTTTGTTGGAAATATAATTTAATTTCATTTTTTTCTGTAAAAACAAGGGAAGATTTGTGTCTCTGAATGGTTGTGTACATCCAATCTAATTAAAATCTGTTGAAAAGTAACATCTTGGCTGATGTCAAACAGATTATTTTCAGAAGTTGATAGAGGTTGTTTGCAAACTATTTTGCATTTTTAAAATGTGGATGGAAAGGGAATGGGTATGATATGAGGGAATATTGACTAACATCAAATTGTTGCTTAAAACATTTTTTGCTTGAAAGGAGGAAGGACTAAAGGAAAATGCAGCTCATGTAGACAAAATTGATTATTTGCTTGAATTTGACTGCTGTAATGAGCTTCTGACCTTGTCTAGGACATGCAGAAATTGCCAATACTGCAAGAGCACAGATACTGTTCTGATCTACAGAGCAAATTATAATGTGGCATTTTACATGCCTTTGCATTGCTTAAGCCACATGAAATACCCATGGGGACATCTTAGTGCACTATACAGACAGAGGGATACTACCAAAACTGCATATTGGATTTTATTGCTAGTAGGGGAAAAAGCAAGCAACACCCCCACCCCCAAAACAAAACAAAACAAACAAAAAAAAAGGGGGAAAGAGATGCAGAAATTGGAGTTAAAACTCTCTGAGGAACTGATCCACTGTACAACAGGAGCAAAACTGTATAGTCATTCAGCTGCTAACATCAATAAACGTGTTTTTTTTCTCAGAAAAATTCTCAGAGGAAATTGTAGAAGTGTAAGAAGCAATACAAGCTTTTTGTGAATCTTAGAGCTACAAGTGACTATCTGTAACTTCTGTAACTAACCTCTTTCAAGACTTGATTTCCTTCTCATGGTCTCATCTCTTTTTATAATCGGAGTTCCACATGAAAAAATTAAAGATTGTTAAGATTAATGCAAACATGGCAATAATACTAAGAAAACACCAGGGGCCTTTTCAACACTATATTCATGCTTTAAAGGAGTACATATTATATCTATTCTTATATGTGTAAAAATAATATGCTATACAGTATTGACCTTTCTAGTAATATACTGCTGATTAAAGTATGGTCATTATTACTATGAGTACAGTAGCAAAATCACCATTTGTGCAAATTGTTGACAGATTATGTCTGCCTGTCTTGTTCATGATTTCACAGCATCTACACATGGAGTTTTTAAAATTTTTTTCTGAGATGTATTTGTATAAGGTTTATAGTGGAGCAGAGAGTTTTGTTTATTTCTCAGACATATCTTGAAAGGTTGTAAAGGCATAAATGTAGCCAAAAAGCTAACGACTGTACTAAAAATTGCAATCTTTGAATTAGCAAAGTGAGAAAGTATGGAAATGTTTCTAAAGTTCATTATCAATAGATGTTTAGACTGCAACAGATCTTAAATGCAATAGAATTTTTTTACAAGTTGTTTTTGGTCGACACTTACTGAAGTCTGGCACAAAGCTGAAACACTGGCCTGGAGAGGTGCAGTCTCTCTAGCCTGGCTGCATTCCCTAAGAAGCCGGGAGCAAACCAGTGCTTGGCTTCTCTTGTGATGAGAATGCTGTGCTGTCTTTCAGCAGGTCTTAGTTTCAAGGAGTTTCATGTTTTTATAAAGCTGCCCTGTATGTTTTTGGGCAGGGGAAAGACGGAGGGTTTGAAATCTGTTTGTAGACAGTTGAGGGACAGATTGCCATTTCAGAGGCCCAAGAACAGGTGCTTGGGGTAAAATGTTTTGTAAGCCCTGAGTTAGGATTGGGCCCATGATGGCTTGAGAGGTCCTTTGGGAGGACTTGCTATGACCCAAAGACCTGAGTAAACTGTTGGGTTTCATCTGAGCTCTTCTGCTTGTTCACGAAAGAGTCTTACTTCAAGTTTGGCATCATCTTCCCAGTGAGCTGAAATAACACAGACACTGGTAAACGGTGGTTGCACAGTAGCCACAGCTGAATCAACAAGACTTGTCCAATAACATATAGGATACGGAAGAACTTTGTGTGAAGCTTAGGAATAAATTTTCACTGTATCATAGAAATGAAATGCAATGAAATGAGCAGTTCCTGTGAGTTTACGATCACTGATCGTCAGTCAGGGAAATGAAGAAATTAAAGGAAGGTAGGGTGGTCTTAGCCCTAGTTAACCCTCTGGTAATTCATTTGTCTGCCCGTTTGATTTCTGGCAGGGGACCAAAGCAATGCAGAGGTGTTTTATCACTAGAACTACATTTATGTCCACCCAAGTAACACAACAATTGGCTTTGAGAACTAAAATTAACAAACTCAAGTATCAATGTATGTGTACCAGCCATTATACCACAGGAGCTATCATAACTGAATGAATGAGTGTTATTTTGGTCTTGCTGGCATAGTAAATGTGCTGATGGTAGTGGGGTTTCTATTGTAAAGCCTAAGAAATCAAGAGTAACACCGGGTCCATAAAATCTGTAACTGCTTTGCTCCAAAGCCACATGAGCAGGTCTAAAATATTTCCCCTAAAATACAAATATTTAGTGGTTCATATAATAATTTTTTCATTCAGAGACACTAAGACACTAAAGACTTCTTAAGGGGAAGAAGAAACCGGAGTACAAATCAGGTAAATATTCTGAGAAAGGTTTTGAACTAGATTGGAGTTAGTGCTATTGGAGAATATTTTCTATTTTTCCCTATGCTGGTCCTGAAACTAACATGTATAGATTTAGATTTGTAAATCCAAAAAGCTTGAACCCTTTATAGTGACTGATAGTCCTTTATATAGTAGAATGATGCTTTCTACTGTATATATGTTTGTACCTGTTATTAGCTTTCCTGTCTTGTTTTTCTTCATGTATTCCAAAGCATATAGCCATGAGAATTTTCTGCATATATCAAGTTTACAGTCTTCAATTGCCAAAAGAATGTCACAGTCTTTGTTGTGCTCCATGCATGCATGAAAGGAGTGCATGAGTAAACATGATACCTTTCCATTTGCGGTTGTCTTTTGGACAAACCTAAAATAACTTTTGCCCTGAAGGGCAGATGTTGCAGGATCCCATGGTCCTGAAGTGCCATTCAGTATTATACAGACTCAAATTCATTGAAAACACGTTTATAGTGAAGAGTAATGGAAGATGCAAAGTGGCCATGGTACAAAGCCCACTGTGGCAGATGTTACTGAATTCTGTGATGCTAAATGCATGTCCCACCTCCCCCTTCCAGATTGGGCCTCTCTGCCCTTGGGTTTATGTCCTGTAACACTTAGTTCATCCATATTTCAGTCACACTCCAGATAAATATCAGGCAATTATATGATACTGTTTCCTGAAAGCACATTTCACTTATGAATTTTGTGAAATTGCTTTGTTGTTTTTTGTTCCCTGAAAGCTAGAAACAAATACAAGTAAGACTTATTCTGATAAATTTCCAGGAAACATTCAGGGAAGAAAGAAAAAAAGCAGAGCTCTCTTTGCTATTGCACAGACTGTAACCATGGACCTGCGTAAACAACTGGAGAATACTGAGAGGAACTGGAATAAAGAGAAGATGGAATTGCTGGAGAGATTTGACAATGAAAGGAAAGAATGGGAATGTCAATGGAAGATCATGCAGAAGAAAATAGAAGAGGTACTTCTAAACAAAACTCTGAGCACTACCATTTTCACTTGGGGTGAAGTGACATGGAATCACTTCAATTTTTTTTTTCTAAATTTTATCCTGTTTCTTATGTCTCACTGGAAGTTTCTAATAGCTAGGATGAAAAACCTGGGATTAAGCAGTATTTGCAATTGCTCATTTAACAGTCATGAATAAAGAGCAGCGGGTGAAAGGTCACTTTGTTTGCGATGAGATTGTTGGCTGTACATACTGCTGCCAGTTCTACTGGGCATGAGCCACACTGCCTACATTATACAAGTTTTTTTCAAGTACATACTGAACAATATGGAGCTTAGGAAAATACATATTTAGTAACAAAAAAATCTAGGTATCATAATCTGGCAAAAAGGAATCATATGGCAATGTCAGCAGGGGTAAATGGTAATATTAAAAAGAATACATATTTTAAATGCTGCATGATATAGAATCATTCTGGCTAGAACCTGTTCCATTTATGGATGGCTTTTAGGAGAGGAAACAGGTAAAGTAAATAGCATGAAAGTCCTGACACCACTTGTGTTTACACATACTAACAAACGCTCGCTCCCTGCCATTTGCAATGCATCTCCTTCCAGAAATAGTTATAGCAATTATTTATTATTCTTTTATCCCCAAATTGTCCCTGCAGCAGAACCCTGTGGCACTATAATGCATTAACTGAGTCTGTTTGGCTACGTATAGAGGCAAGTTTTTTCATTAGTGAACTTTTCACATTTTTCATCTAATATACACATGGAGTAGTTTTTTCTTGCTCTCTGCCAACACTGTCCTGTGGCTGAGCAACACAGGAATGTATGGCAGAGATTGCTGACATGAAAGTATGAGAAGTAAAATGGTCAGAGCCAAAGGAATTACAGGCATAAGGCATACACTGCCCATTAAACCAGCCTGTAGCATAACTCCATAATGTCAGCTTTCTTATATTTTACCTGCAATTCTTACTCACAGACTTTAATATGATGGTTTTTGCCACATTTTTCCTTTTGTGTTAGGACTTTTCTGTGGAGTCGTACCTAATTTCACTGCCAAGGTGAGAATACTCCAAAAATTAGTAATGTGATCTGCGTATGTAGTTGAATTTCATTTTCTTAGGTATATGAAGTGTTTTGGAATGATGGTAATGAAAAGGTATTCTGGCTATTAGTAGTTCTGACAATGTCAACAAAGACTGTTTTCATCATGTTCTTTATCAGCATATGGATTAGGAAAGCATGACTGAGACAGAAAAGGCGATAAAGAATGGAATGGGGCTGAGGGGAAGAGAATGAAGCAAATTGCTGTGTACTGCAGGACCAGACAAACCTGCAGGTGATACCGCACGGTTACTGGTAATCTAAGGTCTCCTCTTAAGACATGCCATAGCTGCTCTTGATTTCAGTTGCCTGACATTTCTTCTCCAAAAGCCACATGCCTGGAGAAAAGGGGAGATTTTAAATGCCATCACCTGTAGAAAGATTTCCTCAATAAAATTTTCACTACCTTATCAGCTTGTATTTTTATTTGGTAGTTTTCTCTAGCCCATCAAAACCTAACTTAATTCTTGGATTCCTCCAGGAAGACTTGTGTGGTATAGGAGATGATATTATAGTTATGGGATGGTATCCTTCCTTCTTACTGCTATGCTGAATCCATATGAAGCTCTCAATTTCTTGGAAATGGCAAAGTTCAGCCTTCAGTTTCCATGAGCAGCTGGGCTTCGGAAGTGAAATCTGAAAGCCCAGGATGAGGTCAAGTGTTAAGTCTCTGAACGTGAGAATACTTGTCATCCACAGCACTACCCATGAAATAGCCACATGTTCTTCATGTTATTCTTTTTCACTGTCCTTTCAAAAGCTGTTGTGGTGGCCTCGTGCACTGTGAGAGGGCAGGCAGATGGCTGTTCAGAGGTGCCTGCTCTGTGCTTTCCTTGTAAGAGTAAGTTAAGAATGAAGGTTTATAAAGAGCCATGGGATTCTTGGCACTGGGAATTATACTCTAAGCAGAAGAGATTTTTATGATGTTGCTATTTTTTCCTAATGTATAATTTATCACGGTTCCTAGTTTGAATGGGCTGGGCGACAGGAATTAACACTTTTTCATTTACAAATAAAGCCACTGGATCTCAGCAGATAGCATGAAAGAAGAGCGTGACAGTGCATTGCCAAATAATACTATTCTGCAGTACTGATTTATCACTCCAGTCAGAGGGAAGAATTCCACTTGCCTGAGAACCAGAAAAGTCTGCTATAGTGTAGATGGCACTGTATTTGATGTGAATTCACTTCCTCTCCTTCAACTAATATACTTTAATAGGCTGTAACATAGCCAGAACCCTCTCCCTCCCTCACATTCCCCCACATTCCCTATCCATCAGGTCAGGGCTGTGTCCACCACATAGTGCAATAAGATTACTTGGAAGACAACCATACGGCTTCCAGCTCAAGACAGGGCCATTGATCTCATGAGATCTCTTCCAATTCCAACCATGGTTAAAACCATGGCAAAGAGTTTGTGGATGGTAACAGCCCTTTCCTTGTCCGGTGACAATAATGGTGTGTGAGCTATTACACTAGGTGACTCAGCACTTTTCTACAAACACATGTATAAAAACTTTCCAATCAGTGCTACTGAGTGAAGCATTGTTAACAACAGAAGATAAATATGTATTTTACCATAAAGTTCATTAGAATACCATGATTTAATAGAAGGTTCTATTGTTTTTTCAGCTCTACCAGGAGGTAAGACTTAGAAGGGAGAGCAATATGAATGTCCGTGATAACAATGCCATTCAGAGCAAGATGCTGCAGCTGTCTATGCATTCCCCTACTTTGCAAGAGAGTGACACAGTGGAGCTGAACTTTCAACACAATATGGAAAATGACAAAATGGAAAAAGGGAGTTTGCTCGGTAAAACAGGACACGAATGTAAAGAAACCAGAGCCAAGAGCAGAAACAATACTCTGTTAATGGACAATCTGGCCTTTGAGAACCATGAGGAACTTGAAGACAGCCACAGCACCAAGCCCTCCAAGAAAAATACCAAGAATTATATTGGTGATCTCAATGTAGTAAGTAAAGTATGAGCATGTTTCAGTTACAAGGGTGAGGAAAATACTGAGGACTTTGGCCTGCCAGGTTAACCTAAAGAACTGATCTCCCTGGTTTTAGCTTTCCAGCAAGTCACTACTTCCTCCTTGGTTGCTATCAGTGAGTGTCCTCTCACTATTTAAATATGTTAACAGCATGCTCTTTACCTCTCTTCCTACTGTGGGGGCATTTTTATATTTTTTCTTGTGCCACTTTCCTGTGCTGTGAGTCTGAAATGTGAATGACCACAGGTTTCAAAATAATTCTGGAGATACCATTTAAAACACTTATATTAAAGGACTGTTTTTATATTTATAAAGGCTCTTAAAGAACTTGCCAGAGTCAGTGAAGAATTATGCAGCTATCAAGAAGAAATTCGAAAGAGGTCCAACCACAGAAGGTAAAAACATATTTGGAATTCTTATATTATAGGAAGAAAATTAATAATGAGACTGTGCTCCTTTTGCTGTTCACTTTGAAGCTGGGTTTGCTATTGATTTTATTAGGAGTTGGGCAGTTCCTACCATCCTAGTGTTTCAGTGCTCAGCATAAAACATTCAAATTAAATTTACTGAAATATGATAAAAGAGCGTGTTTTATTAGCAAAATGGAGTTTTTCTCCAGAACCTGCAAATTGAAATTAGTATTTCTGGGAGATGAAATTATACTTGTTTCTAATGGCTATATGGAGGATTTGCAAAGTGAACAGGTAGTTCTATCTGCCCTGATCCCATTTTCATGCAGTTCTATACAACACTGTATGTGTTTGTCAGGCTGGGAAGTTTCTTACTTAAAGCCCAGATCTAGCCATAAGCATGGGGGATATATCAGGAACTGACAACTCAAGAGTGCAAAGAAGGCAAGAGAAGGAAGAACCCCATACATTTGTACTAATGGAGAGATAGCAAGTCAGCCCCTGAAAGGTATGGCAAATGAACATTCCACTATCTGTTAAAAATTCAATATTTGTGGTCTTCTTTAGCAAGCTAAATACCAGTCTTCTTCTTGAGTTGTGCAGAAATTCTCAGGTAAGACTGAACTGCTGGTGTGATGGGGTCCTCATGAAAGAGATTGAAAAAGGCTGTCGCAGCTATGCTGAGACCCCATGGAAGTGTGCATCATGGCAAGCTCTTCTCAGATGCTCCCAAAGAGAAGAGGGACTTCTTACACTCCCCCATGCCGTCAGTTGGCTGTCTGTCACTAGTTTATTATTGTAGCTAGGCTAGTGTTTGTATCTTTAAAGCAAATAGATTCATAGCTGACGTGTAGTTTCTAAAGGTGATTTTTTAACATATCTCAAAAGACATTTTTACTGTCATGTGTAAGGTTAGGAAACCTATACAAGGGGGACACTGTGTCCCGAAGCTTGCTTCAGTCAGTTTATAATCAGGTAGATTCATGGGAGTTATTAGAACTCACAGGATTCCTCTGTCCTTATTGTAGGATAGGTAAGAAAATGAACAATCATCTGAAAAACTCAGGAAAAGAATTTTAGTGGCACAGGGAAGGAATACAAATTCCTTGTTTTGATCTTTCTTCAAATTCTTCATGTATGTTTCAGTTATGCTGGGTGTATCAGCTGCAGCAAAACTGCTCCCAGATCTCTTTAAGCAGCCAGTGTTAAAATGCCTGCTCATGGGGGAATGAATCCATGATGAGGTCTCCTGGAGGGATCCTTATTGCTTGTCCCTGAAACACTTCTCCTGTTATTTCCAGAATGAAGTCACTTCCTTTCCTGGGGGAATTTGAGGAAACCCAAAACACGGTTATTCTGCCTGAGATGAACCATGTGTCCAGCAATGAATCACAGACTTCAGTTGCTTTTGAAACAGAGGAACACAATAATAGGAAGAATCTGATGAGCTCCACCAAGGCTTTGAAGGACATGTCTTATGGTGATCTTACTGGTGACATAGGAACAGACTTCAGACCTTGGCAAAGGAAAGAAGCTCCACCAGTTCCTCCACGGAGCACTTCTCGGCACCTAACAAACTCACTTTCTGCAGCTGTACAGCTTTCTGAAGCACCAATAAGAGACTCAGGCATCAAAAGCAATTGCAAGGTTCAGGACTGTTGGAGTGGAGGGAAACTGAAGAATTCTTCACCTGTAAACAAGAATGAATCTGCAGCAGCCTGTGCAAATGAAGGGCAGGCTGTGAAAGTTCCTGTGATGGTAACTGCTGCGGTACCTGTAACCAAAAATGAGTGCAAAGTTCCAACAAGTTTCTGCCATAACACATGGGCATATGATGTGGTCAAACTTGGGAAAGACAACAGAAGTGAGCCTTTCCAACTGTCAGCCCAAAAGAGTTGTTCAGATGGAAATATGGCCCAAAGCAACAAGATGCACCAGAAACAAAACCCCAAGTCTCACAGCAGCCCTTTTTATAGTAATGACTTTTGTACCCCCGCTACCCTGCACAGTGACCTTTTGGAAGACACCAGATATACTTTGGGAAAGACCCAAAGAAATGAAATGTTAGCAGCAAAGATTGATGAGTTTAATCGGACTGTATTTCACACAGATAAACATAACAATGCTCTGCAACAAAACCAGGTGCCTCAAACAGCATCAGAAGATCACAAACCCTGTGGGCCACTGTGTGACTCTGCTACTAGCAGGACAGACACTGTAAATACGTCTTGTATTTCAAATCCCAAACTCTCTGTAGCCAAGGAGCAAGAAGCTAGCAACCCCAGCAAAGCTGTCAGGACAGCAGGGCAACAAAAACAAATGAATGGACTTCCAAATACTAGTGGTTATAGGCACATGCTCCAGGAGCATGACTGGAGACCAAGTAATTTATCCGGTCGCCCGCGTTCAGCTGACTCAAGGTCGAACTATGGTGTTGTTGAAAAGCTTTTGAAAACCTATGAAAAATCAACAGTGACTTCTCCGTGTAATGCAAAATGCTGCAAAGATAAGTGGACACAGGCAAATTCTGAATTCACTGATGGGGGTTGCGAGAAACTGAGTCAGTATTTAGAAATTCTCCAGATTGAGCAAGAAAAGCAAGAATTTCCGAGGAATTCAGCCAAGCATATTGGGCAACAACTCAAGCAAGGAAAAGAGAGACAGAAGTTACCAGAGGTAAGGTTCATAAGAATGGCAAGACCAGAAAAATTGTTTCATACCAAACCTCAGCTTCTAAAATGAGGCAGGCTAACATTGTATTGTAAATAATTATGTAGAAATAGACATTTTAAACCAAGATCTGGATGAATCAGGAGCATTTCCTCTGCAGATTATAGAGTTGTAGAAGGGCAGAAGCATATAAGTAAGAGTGGAGACATGTGCCAGATTTTGATCCCTGCTGCTGTTCTATAAAGCTGTATTTTAGCTGCAATGCAGTTATGCAAGGATTGAACTAGTGAGAAGTGCAATCAGGTTTTAACCCCATCTTTCCTTCCTTTAGTTATTTCATAAGCCTTCTCAAAGGACTTAAGCACCCTTGTCCATGTCCAAAACCCTGGAGGTCTTAGATAGCATTCTTCAGCATCCAGGGTGCTGCTTGGTCCAGGATTTCCTTGGAACTGCCTATGACAAGGGATATTGTAATTCCATAAATTTTCCAGAAATAAAGTGACCTCCTCTTACTCATGTCTCAGTACCAGCTCCTCCTATATATTCAAGCATACGCTCACAGAAACAGAAGATCATGGCATGACTAATTAATTTATATTTGGCTGAATTTTATTTGCAGAAGTTTAGAAATATTTCATTTACCAACATTCTTTCTTAATGAAGAGAGAAACAGATGGTTTGGAAAATATACTATAAATTGCAGGTTCTGTAAAAGTCCGCAAAGAAAGAAAAATATTTTTTCCTGAAGTGCTCCTTGGCCAACAAACACAGATAGCTATGCCCCTTAGAATATCAAAAAGGAGAAGGCAGGTGTGTTTTGAGCCGAGAAACTTAAATGGGTTCAGACTGTCAGCTGGTATGCTTTAAACTGTCACAAATTCACAGACTTCAGTGGAGCTATGTGGATTTAAGCAGCTGAGAATCTGACCATGCAGATTTTCTTCCACATGTCTTTCTGACAGCCTTGCATTGAAGCAACATCTCTTACTTAGCAGACACATCTTTACTACAGCGAAGAAAGAAAAACCTATGAAGCTTACCATTTGTTTTTCATCTGATAAACTTTTGACAGGAAAACAATTTTTCAGCAATGGAGGAAAGAAATAATGACTTAATAATGACTGAGTTTATACTGATGTAAGCCCAGAATAACTTTATTAAGCCAATTAGATTTTATTTCTCCATAGGCTCACACTTTATATTGTCATTTCTATCTGAACAAACTAAATGTGGAATACTGCCTGATTAGGAGTTACCATTTTAGGTCCAACAGCATGCATGTCACAGAACTGTAAAGAGCTATATATGGCATGAGGCATGTGGTTTATGTTCATTATTTCCAATTCATATCACTGTAGCTATGATCAAAATCTGTTGGGTTTCCTAAAGCTCTGCAGGTAGACATAACACTGTATTAATATGTAAACATTAGTTACCAAATGTGAACAGCTTCACACTGCACTAATGGAAACAGAGTTCTTAACAGACCATGTGACTGCTGAAATAGGATCTATCAAAAAATACCTGAAAAATATGTAGATCATACTTCAGTAATATAAGATAATATTCTGAGTTCTATACTTAAAATAGTTTGCAGTGTTCATTGACAAAAAAAAACTTCCACAAATTAAAATAAATAAGAAGTAAATGTCAGTTTTGTCTTGCACTAACATTTTATACCTTTCCTTGTGTCTGACACTTGTCTCCATGTATTTTAAACCACAACTGATGTGAGAATCCCAGTACATAGAAATAGCTGTTCTTTTGCATTCTGTACATGACTGCACTCCTTTTAATAGCTTCCGACCACCTGTTCTGAGGTCACCACAAATGTCTTCCTGCATTCCCGCTGCATTCCGCAAAAGCCTTAACTTGTTAAAGCAAGGAATTGCCTTTGTGTTCCAGATCTGTGTGCCAGCTAAATGTTCAAGTGAGAAGGGTTTTTCCCGTCCCGCTCGGCCAGCAAATCGACGCTTACCTTCCAGATGGGCATCTAGATCCCCCTCAGCACCACCTGCTGTGAGAAGAACGGTGTACAACTGCTCTGTCTCCTTTCAGTCAGAGACCTCAGTAGTCTGAACCCAGAGCTGGGTTGGATGGTGTTGTGAAAGCTCTACACCTCATTATAACTGTGTTTGGTATGTGTCATAGCAACCAGTTCTACACTATTGTATTTTGTCCAAGAGTGACCCCCACCACGTGCTGGACAAAGCATTCTGAATCTTAGGTCATCATCACTGTGGTCTTCAGTGTTTTTATTGAGATGAAATAACTATACCCCTGGTTTTCTCTGGGTTTTTTTTGGTAGTAGTTCACAAGGAATTTATTTTGAATGGCATCTTCCTTAATTTGCCAATCAATTTTGAGTCAAAACAATGTATAGTGCTGTATATTCTGACTCTTCTGCAAACAGCAGAACGTAAAGCTGTATGCATGATCATGTGTTTGTAGGTGCATGTGTTGGACTAGGAAGTATACGGGCCTGTACTTAGAAGAGACAAACTGTGCTAGTGTTGACATTGAAATTGCAACCTATATGCCTACGTATATATATACTTCATGTTTATTTTAAGAAGTTTGAAATATACAGTCCTGATGACATTTATATTTTGTATATCTTTTACATAGGTTCACAGGCGTAGTATTTAGTGTAAAAAATACTTAAATATTCATTTTTTGTGACTGATTGCAGCGATAATGCCTTGCACAATATGTATCTGAAGCAGACTAGCTCGACTGATTTATCAGTCATGCTTCATGGCATACTCGTTCGGTTTCCTAACCCTTATGCTAGGTCAAAATACCCAAACATATTTTTTTCTGAATTAAAATATTATATTATTTGTAATATGTTAGCCTTTTTCAGCACCAGAGACATTTCTGAAATGTTCCAATCCCTTTAAAAAGCTTAAATGTGCCATTTTATATATAGCATACTGTAAACACTTTGGTAATTTCAACTACTGTAACATACAATTTATGAAGGGAAGAAAAGGGTTATATATGCTCAATTCTGTAAAACTTATTTTTCCTTCTAGCATTATACTTTGAGGTTTGACAAAGTCAAATAACAATGGACTTGTTTACTTTCACTCAAGGCAGGAGAACAAACACCGCTGTACCCAGTGCTGCAGCCACACTCCTCTTTTACTCTTCTCCTAGACTAGAGTGCCTGAGCCACTTGCTCATTTACTGTTCCCTGACTGACTCATGGCAGTCAGTTACAAAGTTTACTTGCACTCTGGCAACAAGCTGCTTCTAGTACGGAAATATTGCATCGAGGTATGATCACAATTGTGCCCAAAATCGTAGACACGTGGCGTTGCAAGTATGTTTTTGCCATCACTTGACATGGTATTATGGGCCATCTGAATGACATGCACAGAGCCTGGCTTGTTCCTTCCCACAGTGTGAGAGAAACATGGATGCTTCTCACACTCTGAACTTTCAGAAAGACAGTGTCTGTTATCCTGGAATTTTTGCACCCTTTGTTAGGCTGTTGCTGGATGCATAGTGCAGTAATGATGATAAATGTTACCTTTAAGTAGCATGTCTAGGTTAAAAGGAGTAAAGAGGCACTTCTTCAACATCAGCCTGATCTTGTCTTACAACTTTTCTTCTCCTGGAGAAACATAGGATGTTCAAAGGAATTTTAAAAATCATCCCAGGATCCATTAATGTGCACATCTTATGTGAATGTAAAAAGGATTTCAGAGAGAGTGTAGGCTTTTGTCCTAGTGAATTGTATATGTGGCAATATAGGGAAAATTAATTGTGCTTAATTTGGTAGTGATCTGTTGTCCTATTCCAGTCATGTTGAGAATTCATGCCTTTTTCCTTCCTTTTAGGACCTTATTGTTCTTTCCTCTACACAGCTTTGATTTTGAAGAGAGAGAAAACGGGAGGCCATGTGTTCTGAGCAATATAGCCTATATGGTAGCATCAGTAACTGTTTGGGCTTGCCAATATTAGAACAAGCAGGCATTAGAGCGCTAAATCCCACCTTGTCATGCCATTGTGGCTATCTGCTTGGCAATACCATGCCCAGAGTAATTTGCCCTATCTAGACTTCTGGTCCTTTCTAAGTCTATCTCACTAAAATATATGAAGACTTCAAGCCAATCAACAATTCATCAAAATTTACTCAGACATTGCGAAGTTCTTGCTGGAAAAGATACAAGGACAGAAAATCTGAGGAAAATTTATACAGTTTGGATGGAGACAAAAGTCTGTGTGCTTAAGTGAAAAATCAAGAGTTCTATAAATTTTCCTGCTTGCCCTAATTTAGAGATTGCACTCCATTAACTTCCTTAGCACTAAAAAAATTAGAGATGATTCACAGTAAATTTGGAACATGGCTTAATATTCTAACTGGAAATTAGCAAACCAAAATGCCTTGAAAATTGACCTTTTAATGCCTAAGTAGCTGACCAGCTTTAAATGCCTAAGGCCGAGGAAAGAGTAATATGAAAGAATTGTAAAAAAAATGGTTCTTTATTTCAGTCAGAGATGACTGCAATAACACTCTTTAAATTACCTCTAAGGTAAAGTTAAGCAGTTTTGTTCTGAAAAATGGTGGTGCACTTTTGTTTGAAGTATTTAACTATGAAAGCATTTCCCTTGATTAGTCAGTGAAGGTGTTTCTTTTGTTCCCTTCAGTTTCTTTGGTTGCCTTTGACATAGACCACATTGTTGAATAACAGAGAAAGGATCAAATATCGACAACATTCCCTGATGTATGTAAGTTTAATGAACAGAAGGTTTTTGAAATAAACTAATAGGTCAAGTACAAGTTCATTTTGTCAAGGTTTTCTGTGTCCGCCTAATTACAGACATTGATTCTGATGCCCAGAAGTATCAAAACTGGTGATTTTGGTTTGCAGGTGGCTAGTTGGACATACTAATTTTAGAAAGTTGCCGCTGTCACTGTTTAAATATTTTTTTCAGCTCCACTCATAACAGGGCCAGTGGACTGTGGTGATTTTTCTAGTTCCCATAACTGTGATTACTGAACCACAGTAATAGCTTTATTCACTTATTTGCTTAAGGGGAAGAGCTCCGTTGGGTTCCGTTCCCCTGTATTATTTCTGAAAAGGAAATCTACACGTACACACACATTCATGCAAGAAACATAAATGCTCTAAGTATAACTTGACCTTCCTATTAATCCTAGTGTCACCTATGGAAGTGGTGAGTTTTGTAAGCCTGTTTTAATATTATTCTTCCATATGCTGTCTGAAGTCTTAATGCAGATATATGTTTTTCTTACTTGCACTCTGACTGAGTCTAAAACTCTATTGCATGCTTGTGGACCTTAGTGACTCTCTGCAGACACAGTCAGCTGCCCATTGAAATAGGGATGCCACTAGGAATCAGCTGGCTGGTACTCAGTTGACAGAAAGCATCATTCTCCTTCATGCTGAGAGATGGAGCCATAATTGTTCCTTGAAACTGTTTTAGGGAGGAACATGGCAGGGTAGAAGCACATAGAGTAGAATAATTTAGACCTTATCTGCACATCTACAGAGCAGGCCACCTGGAGGCTTTAAAACTGGCCTGACTCAGCCTCTGCTAGAGGCAGAAGGAGTAGAGAAAAAGAATTTCCTTTAAAACCCCTCGGTATCATTCCTCAAACTCAGAGTACATTTCCACTAGTGTTTTGTCTTTACAGTGTTAGTGATAGACTTCTTATGTATCTTTAAAATGTTGCTGAAGAGATGAACTCTGCTTGTTCTCCACCAACAACAGAATTATCTTTCACTATTACACACACTGTAAGGGAGTTGGCTGTTATGTATAGGAAAGAATTGGAAATCAGTGTAATATAATTTTCCAGTGCATTCAAAATACCAATCTATTTCTCCAGTTGTCCATTTAAAAAATTGTTTCTGTAAATAGGGATTTTGTATCCAAACGGCTTCAAGAGCATTTTAGCAAAGATCTACAGCAATACAGAAAGCAGGACATTTCCCTTACAGTTTTGTTATTTCTGGACTAAATTTCCTAGCATGCAAGAACTTATGCAATTCTCACAGTGCTGCTAATGCAAAGAATTTCTTTGACTCTGAGATATGTAAGATACAACTCTAGCCATTATACTGCTGATATTCTCTATTGGACTCATCTGTAATGGTGAATTTGGTTGTGTTCATGCTCTTTAAACTGAAAAGTGGAATGCATTTGCTCTAAATGCGCTAATCAAAGCCCCTTGTTGCCTCTCTGGTCTTTCCACCCCTTCTCAATTTCCAGTGGATGTGTATTTTTATGTGGTTTATTGCCATTGGTGTGTATGTATATGTCATACCATAGGACTTTCTATCTGTACTGCAGCCAAAATATTTTTTGGACAGCCTATTCTAAAAAGTTCTGATATTACTACTGCCATTCACAAATACATTAGATCTTGATCTTTTGTTTTGCATCACTGAAAACGCACTTTCTTTATCAACTGTTAGTGGCATATATTACACAAAACTTTGTTTTTTGAAGTTATAATTAGGCTGCTTTTGAAGTTTGATTCTACCCCTCCCCCTTGCATCTTTTGTATTTTCAAAGTGCTTGCATCAGCAGAGACATCTTTCTGATGTGTAGAGTTGATGCAGTTGCTGTGTGGCTGTGGGAGCTCATGCCTAAGGGAGCCTTGCTAACTATGTTACTCTAAAATTATTGTATCAGAATTTCCATGGGGTAAGAGAGATTGAACCTTCAACATGATCAGAGTGGAAGTGTGGTTTATGCCTTTTCTCTAGTACCTGCAGTCTGCAATATTTCTGTTTAAGGGTCCAGAGTTTGTTTTCTCCTAGTGGTGCATGTCTGTGTGTGTATGGCTGAGATGTACTGAAAAATGACACTATAGGGGAGTCCATACATCTTACACTTTTAAATCAGATTATCTAATGTGTAAGCCCAAAATATTCCACTCTATTGCATGAGATAATGTTACCCTGTACTACAGAGTAGATTTGATCCCAATATGAATTGGGGGAAGAGAGCAGACACTGCACAGATAGGCCTAAAGTATGTAATACAAGCAACTAAGCTGCGCTGGCTGATGTTAAGAGGTGAGCTAATGGGGTGAGGTGACTAGTCACCTCATTAAAGCCAGAGGTTCTTTAATACTAGGTCTCAGTGGATGCATAGACTTCTGCTAACCTGCTAATGTGTCACAGGGATTGTAATGCTAAGAAGCCTGATTTTGATTGCCCTTCCACCTGGAGGGATGCTACTTGCCTGTGGCAGATGTGCCTACATAGTCTTTTGCCAGTGCCCCTTAAAATTCCATAAGGTAGTTTACTGCAGCTAGAAGAATTTCTAAATCATAATCACAGTAGAAAAGGACTTTCATTAAAGAAAAGTGCATTTATATCTGAACTCTGTGAACATGACCACTGCCAACTGTCATGGTGACACAGAAAATCAGACTGAGTTTTACTGCTATATCATGAGATATCTGCAGCAGGTCAGCTGTTCTGGTACCATATATGATGTAAAGCTGCTTAAGATATTGTTGTTGGAAGCGCACCACAGAGAGATATGTATGTACATACGGTCTGCTTGTTTCTTTGCAGAATCTTTCTAGTTTCCACAAAGATATTCTGTTTGTTTTGGGAGTTTGGGAATTTTTTTCTCCACATTTACCTGAAAGCAATTGAGCTACCCAAGTTATTGCTGATAAGAAGTCTCATAGGTGTTCTTCTGAAACCAAAATATCTACTCAGAGAAGTAGCTGGCTACCAAAGGAGGTAAGATGGTAAGATCTAAGTTGAACAAGCCAGTTCACAAACTGGCTCATACGCTGTTACATGTCTGTGTACACACACACATCTTAGGAACTTATCCTCCAGGAAATCCCACATGTCCAAGGCAGTTTTGCCATATGACACTATTTACTGCATATAGGAGTACCATAGTCACACACATAGTACATACAGAAAAATGATGTCTAATACTGTATGTAAACAGACTCCTCCCAAAGAATGGTGCTGAAATGCTTTACATTAAAAGCAGCATGTGACTTAATGAGATCCAGTAGGTTTTGAAATCCCACTTTCATATAAGTAAATGCAATCAAATCTTTTAATGAAAGAAACATGCTTATGCATGTCACTTTTTCCTTCCAAATATTTCAAGCCTGTCTTACAGCTCTGATCCTAATTTTGCCTCATGTACTGCAGGGAAAAAAAAAAAAAAAGAAGGGAAGTGGAAATAGAGATAGTCAGAAAAATCCTCTGTCAGTGCCTCTAGCTTAGGCACTGCAAAATGACTGGTACTGGTCTCACTGTACATGGATGAGACTTTGACAGCTTATTATTAAACAGTATTGACCATGAAAAGAAGATGATCTTCCATTTCTCCTCTCTGTAGTTTTATTCCTTCCTTCCCTCTCCTTCCATCAGGAGGTGACAATTCAGCCACCTAAGGAGAAGTAGGCCTGGTAAAAAAAGCTATGTGGAAGCTTCTCTTCACTTTCCAGCTTCTCTTCTGCAGGCCTCCAGACCTGCAAAACACATCATGTTTGAGACGATGTGAGAAGCCAGAAAAAGATGCCTTTTGGGGTCTTTCTGCAACAAGCACTGCATCAGCCAGTTTGGGGCTGAACAGTTTCATGGGATTTTTTTCCAACTGTAGTGTAAAAAAGCTTTTTCCTCTTCTGTGCAGGAGTCTGTCTTTAAACCACCTCTTGGATGGGTTTCTGTAATTTTAATTCATTTTACAGCAAAATTTCACAGCAGTTGGGACAGAAAGTGAAGAATTCGTCATTCTCTATTGGAAGTTGGCCAGAAGCTGAACCAGATGTACAAAGGGCCAAGACGAATTTAAAACTGTTTAAAAATCTTCAGCCAAAGTGATCTGCAGTCAGCCCACCAAGGTTTTTAGAAGTCAACTGTCTCTTTAAGCTTGATTCTGGGAAATAAACCAACTTGTTTCTGCTGTAGTGAGTGGAAAGTGGATGATGAAAGTAATTTGCAACATTCAGAAATGAAGATAACAGTGCTCTGGTGATTTAAGTAGCTTTATGCTGTTTGCACAGCCTCCTATGAGGATAGATATTCCGATTTTCCTAGGATGCCATTTAGTGCCAACCCGCATGTGTTTTGGTCTAGACTGCTGTCTCATAGCGGGTATACATTTATATATATATATATGTATATGGAAGAACCAGGCTGATGTAATGCCACCATCTCTGTGATCATTTGAGAAACATTTGAGAAAATCAAAGCTCACTGATTCAGAGTGCCTGCTTTCCTTTTATGTCTGTACGCACACAGATATGTACATATCACATGGACATATACACTGATCATTTTTTTTTTCTGCTTTCGTCTTGGTTTTGCACTGTATGAAAACCAAAGTGAGGCCTCTTACAATCGGTCTTAGCCAAAATGGAAGAAATAGGGGTGTGACGCTGGACTTGGGACCCCAACAAAAATCCCAGTGAAAGGACGTGTTGAGACATTTTAGGGTAGGGAGTTCAACCAAGTCATTTATCATTCATTTCAGCTACAGCAGCCTAATCCTTTCTTATGCTATTTTGTTCAAACATTATAGATTTTACTCTGTTTTTACAGGGCCAGCGTGAGTATATTTATGTTTTTCCCTACCTACATTGTCCTGTGATTTGGAGAAAAACAGGCTGTAGAAAAAGGACTTCAATTAACAGTGAAGATTTCCCCAGTTCAGGAATATTGGATTCGCTTCATTCACTTGGCACACAGGGGTCAAATGTAAACTATGTCTGACAGGAATATATTGGAAGTTGGAGAGGAATTGAATCTTCAAATTCAGATTTCTGGTTTAGTCTAATTGCTGCTTGAACCTCTGTAAAATCCAACCCCAAATTTCATATTAATCTGCCAGTCCTGATATCTCCCACAGAGTTTGAATTTGGAATGGCTGCAGAGGGAAACTTTACATGCATGTATAAGTATTATCAGTGTGCAGAAACTAATGAATCTCAGAGCACTTCGTGCAGCTCAACATTTCCTGCTAATATTTCACACTGGTGATCACCACTCTAGCCTGTAAGACTGACTGTGTAAAAGCCATGAATGCATAGGATAAACAACAACAAAAATACCAAAAAAACCACACATAAAAAAAGTCCAAGCTCCAGCCACGCCTGGGACATCTCTATTAAAACAAGGAAGCAGATACCAGCTTTGCTGCACAGGTTTCACCACTGATTATGTATTGCCATAGATAGATGTGGAAAGGGAATGGTCTCTTCCTCTTGCACAGAGGAGCATTAGATGAAATTCTCTGTGTTTATAGCTAGATTCTCAGGTTTGCACCAACTTTCCTGAAAGAGCAACAACTGTCAGAGCTGAATTTAAATCAGCTCTTGTGCCATAAGTGGATGCTGATGTCATTAGTTTTCATCTTTGCTCCAGAACTCCTTGCTGTTACTATTGACCAAGAAAGTCAGGAGAAAAGAACCATCTTCTTGACACCCACAGCAAGTTTAGGGTTGTTGAAGGGTGACACGTACAGTGTTTCTTTTCCTAAACACAGTAAAAAACCCCAACAGCCACACTTCTCTTTCTGAAACACCGTGTGTACCCACCTAGTCACTGCTATCTAAACTGGTTTTCATGAGAATGGTTACTTAACATAGACCTTCTGTATTACAGAAAAGGCCAGTTGTAGGATGTCAGGAGTAAGGAAATGCCACACTTAGTTTTCTTATTTCTTTGGCAGAGATACAGGGAATTTGGTTTTCATTACACACGCAGCTAAGTTGAATCAAGAGGAGGGGTATTCGCCCCATCTCCATCATTTCAGAAAGGCCTTGATCTGCAAAATTCTTTAACGCTATCACACAAGAAGAACTTCTGATCACTACACTTTGTTTGGAGGTAGAATAAATGACTGTGATCCAGCTAAGTAATAAACTTGGCAGTTGGGAAGACCACTCTTCTCTCCACAAGCAGCTTACAGTGAGAGTGTGCTAGATATGAGATTTTAAAGCACTGCACTGGTACATGTTTATCTTCTGACTGTGTTTTCTATAGTCCTGTGGAGCAAGCATTAACAATCTCATTTTCGAAATGCAGCAAAATGAAGCAGAAAAAGAAATAGCAGGGAATTCTTGACTTCCTGGGGGTAAGTGGGAGGAAGGAAGTGAAGCAGATCAGAGCAGACACAGCTGTAGCAATGTAAGAAGTGCCATGCTCTTTTCTATTGCCCTTTGAAGAGTGAAACCTGCATCGCTTAACAAGCCAAACCCTCAGACTGATGTCAACTTGCCTAATGCTGGGGAAGGGAAAACCTGGCTGATTTTACATTGAACTGGGCCAGGGACTTCTGTGATTCATTCCAGCAGCTCTTCCTGGGAAGGTGTGTGCAGAGGCAAGGGAGGCAACTGGTGAGAGGGGATACCTACTACTGTGCCAGAATGATTGTGCTTGCTGTGACAGCTCACTGCAGCCCACAACAGTGCTCCAGTCCAAAGATCTTACTGTGCCATTAACATGTCTTTGTTGTGGGGCAGAAGACTTTGTGTCACCACTGTCCAAGCAGAGTTGGTCAAATCTGATAATGTATTAGTCTGGCCTGAAACAGCGTGTAATATGTTCCTGTACACACACTGCAACAGATCTGGCACAGGTTGATTTCATATAGCCAAAGGCAGAACAGCCAAGTGAGGTCAGAAACCAGTTCCTAGTGATCTGTACCAGGCTACCCAAGGGTCAGTGGCAGGTCTGTGGCTAGGGTGCTGAGAAGACAAGAAGGCAAACCTCTTCCCTGAGCTTCGCATCCTGCTTCCCCATATGGGACCTCAGACTTTTTACACCTCTTTCTCCCCCCTCCCCAACATGAAATATCAGTCTATTAAGTAGTTCAGGGCTATATTGTATTAACAGTAGATCTCCCCTCTCCAGCCCCTAATTAAGGTCTTGGATCCGTACAACTCTCACATTTAATTGCACAGTCTCAGTCAAAAACACATCTTTAATCAAGTGCTGGGCAGCCCCAGTTAGCACAATCAGATGTTCTAATGAAAGAAAGGAATGGTAGGTGTTGCCAGCAGAGCTCACACAAAGTGTGCTAAAAAGGCAGGCAAGCTGAGGGCTGGAAAAGTTTCTGTCTCTTCTCTTTAATCACCCCTCCCCACTCCTGCTGACATTTTCTGACTCGGTAAAGCTGCCAAATCGCAGATGGTTGTGGGGCCTGCGTGAATCAGAATAAAACAAGGAAGCTAGTATTTGCAGGAGAGATTGGAACAGCAACAAATAAGACTGACCTGATTATTCAAGCATGGTTGGACATAATGCCAAATTGCATCTTCTGATATTTGCTGTGTGATTTATAGTATATACTGCAGTCAAAAAGTGTTGCATCCCCTTTTTTTCTCCTCTGGTATGAATCTAGTAGCTTTTTGGTGCTCTGAACCTCCTGACTTCTGAATTTTGCTGTAACGAAATACCTCCAACACAGTTTAGAGGGGACAGCAATAGCAAATCAGATAATGTCTGCTCACATAGTCATAAGTATAGATATTTTGTTGCCAAGATATTTAACTGCTAGGCAACCGATGTTCCATTTTGATAAAGATGTGGTATTGCACACTGGGACTTGTAGTTTCAGCACTGTATCAGTGTATGGAAGTAAAGGATCAACAAGCCGACAACAGCTGGTTCTTAGATTCACTCTGGGGTGGCTTTTGCTACCCTGTCTGATGCTTTGTTATTAAAGATCCATGTTAGAGGGAAAGCATGGGTTCAGTCACTGAATTTTAAAGCACACAGGCAGAAGAGAGGAATGCTGATCTGCAGGCAAGATTCATCAAGCATTGCTTCTGCTCTTCTGGCACTCTGGCATCTGACTAACCTCCTCCAGGACTAGGGCTGCAGCTGTAGTACAAGGGCAGCTAGACCTTAGCAGCAGTCAACAGCATCATGTACTTTGGGGGAGGGAGAGAAAAAAAAAACCAAACCAGAACAAAAAAAACGACACAACCAAAAATAACCCCAGAAGTAAGAACAGGAGTTAATTTCTTCTGAAGATAATGTTTCTCTGGTTCTTGGTCACAGGAATATATGTCTTTGCACATTGATGGATTGTCTCATATGTTTTGGTTGGAGTGCAATGCCGTTGTTCCCACTTTGTAGCTGGAGAGCAGAGGCGCAGAGAGCCAATGTTTTAATGGCATTGAACTGTGGAATTCCTGAGAATTCTCAGGGGTTTCTGGTCTCCAA